TGATAGCGGGTCCCCCTGTCGTAGTCCACGCATCCCCGGAAAAAAACCCTTCGTCACACCGTTTACCGACACCGTATAGGAAACCGATGTCTCACACTCCATAATCCATCGGATCACCATTTCCGGGAACCCTAACCCCACCAACATCGATCGCAAGAAATCCCAATTTACGGAATCGTAGGCCTTCCGTAAATCCATCTTGATCAAGCACCGGGGAGAAATCCGTTTGCGCTCATAACCCCTCATAAGTTGCTCCACCATGTGTATATTATCCGTTATAGATCGCCCACTCACAAAAGAAGATTGGGCCCGATCTATAATAGGGGGAAGCACCTTCACGATTCGCTTCGTAATAACCTTCGCGATCACCTTGTAGATGACATTACAACACGCAATTGGCCGAAAATCACCCACTGTTTCGGCATGGGCTGATTTTGGTATGAAAACCAAGACCGTGTTAGCCCACTATTTAAGCAATTCACCACTTCGGAAGAACTCCAAAGCCTCCTCTGTAAGGAGTCGTCCAACAGTGGACCATGCCGCTTTGAAGAAAAGGGCCGTGTACCCATCCGGCCCCGGTGCTTTATCGTCAGCGATATCAAAAAAAGCTTCCCGAATCTCCACCCCCGTCACCGGTTGAATCAGCCCCTCCCGATCCTCCTCTCCAAGAATCGGTCCCGTGGCAATAATATGGGGGTCGACCGGGTCACACGTAGTACGGGTGCCCAAGAAATTTCGGTAAAAAGTCTCGAATTCACCAAGTACCTCATCCCTAGAGGTAGTGACCGAACCATCCTCCCTGCGAATTGAAACAATATTGTTTCTTTTAGCATTTTGCTTAGCAATCCCGTGGAAGAATTTCGTCGTACGATCCGAATCTCGTAAATGGTGGAGTTTCGCCTTTTGGTAGAAAAAACTCTTCTCCGCTTTTGCCAAAAACCGAAATTTCTCCACTTTTGCCAGCATCTCTCCACACAATTATTGGTTATGAGGGTCGTTGTGGTAGAGGTGTTGGGATTCCTCAAGCTCTTCGGCCGCACGGTGTACCCGTTCAGAAATATGCCCGAATTCACGTCGGTTGAAGCGTTTTAGTGGGTGTTTAAGGGCCTTGAGGTTCTTGCTAACGGCCCATTGTCGGCTGCCCCAGTAACTTGCCATCCATACCTCCTTAACTTTCCGTTGAAAATCGTCGTGCTGGGTCCACATGTTGAAGAACCGAAATGGTCGAGATGCCGGGGGTTCGGTCCCTCCCATTTTCACAATAACCGGAGAGTGGTCGGACACCGCCCCAAACGGTAGGAATTGTGCCGAACTGCCCTAAAAAACGTCACGCCACATTTGGTTGACAAGCGCACGGTCAAGTTTACTCCACACTCTATGGTTCGTCCAAGTGTAATGAAAGCCTGTTGAGGTTAAATCCTCGAGTCCGCTTTGTCGAAAGCACGTCTGTATATCATTTAGCAAATATGGGGTGAGCAAGTTGCCACCCGATTTCTCTTCAGGTTTGAGGACCACATTGAAATCGCCCATGCATAGCCACGGCTCGGTGATGCTCGACCCAAACTCCACTAGCGCTTGCCACAACGGCCGTCTCGTAACCGGTGTGAAAAGTCCATACACAAAGCTAACATAGCTTAGCCGTTGGGTGACCATACACGTTACCTTGCAATGGACCAGCTGCAACGTCATATCAACGACTTCCACCCGAGCCACGTCCGGGTTCCATAAAACGAGGATCCGGCCTGCCGTGTGGAGGTGAAAGTTATTGATGTTCATCCAATGCCGGAACCGCCGATTCATGATAGAGCTGAGCGTTCCCGGATCCCAAATCTTCGTCTCCAATAAGCTACAAACCGAGAGTTTGTGCTTACCAATGAGGTCCGCGACCTCCTTCTGCGTGAGGGACTTAAGCAACCCCCTCACATTCCAACACCCCACAATCATTTCGTCTTTGGGGGTCAGAGGCCCCCCGCGGCTCCGCATCATCACGCTCATCTCGAACAAACTTCGACTCAATTTCCGCCACCGAACTTGATTCACCTTCTTTGGGTAGCAGAATCGCAGCCGGTGGAAGGTACATCTTTTTGATTGTGAACCTCGACTTGGGGGCTGTTCCCGGGGATTTTGGGGAGTTTAGGGCATTAAACTCCACCAAGGACCCCCGATCATCGTCATCCGCTGCATAGCACTCGGTCGATCCATCCTCCGAAACTCCATCCTCAGCATCCACGGTCTCCCCCTCCT